GGGGCAGGGCCGGCTCGGCTGACTTCGGGGCGGGAGTTACTTCCCCGCTCCTGAACCTGGGGCGTCGACATCTGGGTCTCTGATTCCTCGAGGGAGGGCCAGGCGGGCGCCGGAGGAGTCCGCCCCAGCCCCAGCTTGTCCGGAGGAGGCGCTAAGGTCCAGAGAGACTAGGCACGCGCCCGGGCTCTGCTGCTTTCAACCACCCGCTGTGTGGCCTTGGGCTGCTTGTTAAACGTCTCTGAGCCAGGGATAATAAGTAAAACATGTGTGAAAGATCGGGGTCTTGCGAGGCCCTTAGTATGTGTAAACGGAGTGGGACCTTCTGGAGCCAACCTTGCATCACTGTTCTCCTCCCCGGAGGGGGATATACAAACCTGCTCCCCTCCTGGCCTCAGGGACCATTGAAAAGGCAAATACAACAAGGCATTGTGCTTCCTCGACTTTTTTTTTTTTTCTAATTTTAATGTTTATTTATTTTTGAGAGAGAGACTTTAATTTTAATGTTTATTTATTTTTGAGAGAGAGACAGAGTGTGAGCGGGTAAGGGGCAGAGAGAGGGAGACACAGAATCCGAAGCAGGCTCCAGGCTCTGAGCTGTCAGCACAGAGTCCGACACAGGGCTCAAACTCGCGAACCATGAGATCATGATCTGAGCTGAAGTCCGTCGCTTAACCAACTGAGCCACCCAGGTGCCCCTTGCTTCCTCAACTTTTGACGGGGCCTGAGTTCAGAGGCGGCAGCCCATAAAGTCCCCACACCGGAATGGAGTGGCAACAAATTCCAGACTAAGACCCTTCTTTCCCTCCGCAGTTTTAGGGAGCTGTGTGTTGATGAGGAGGGCGACTTCTGCTTAAGGCAAAGCGAGATCCTCTGTCTCCTTAACTGAATCAGGGATAAATGAAATGATTGGGCTCAACTAGGCAGGCAGGCAGCTTCCTGGTGTCTTTACCCAAGGCTATTTGAAATAAGGACGCTTCTCCTGGACCTGAAAATCTCTAGATGCTAAGAAAACCCAGAAAGCCATGTGAGAAAGGGGGAAAGTTACAGTGGTCTGAATCTCCCACTTAGATGTTCCTTTTGAGTTCCTCACTGCCAGGTTCTCCTCCCTCCACAGCCCTGGGCTCTAGAGGAGGGATTCACCCAGGAAAGGAGGGCCTGGCCCTGTTGGGGTCCCTTTACAGAGCCCTAGGATGCTCTGTGGGAGGGAACTTCTGGGTTTCTGGGGCCTGAAGAATTTCACATGACCAGGAAGGGAGTGCCTGGAATAAAAATCAGGAAGAACTGTTAGGTTGGGTGATCCAGCCCCATTGTGCGCCTCCAAATGCCTTCTACGATTCCATGTGTGGTCAGGCGTGTTTGGGGATATATTGTCTGCTATGCTTTCTTGGTAAGAATAGAAAGTCTTGAATCAGTGGAATTTAGAACAACATGTCCTGTCAGCAAGACAGCTGGAGAAGCAGAAATGGCTTAGGAATAATAAGGAGGAAGTAACTGTCATTTTACGGTCTTAAGAAGGCCTGGACACAGCCAGGAGTCTGGATGGAGTCTGTGCTGGTCCTTTGCATTCTAAAATCCGTGGTACCTTGGTGCCCAGGGCTTGGGACTCAGCGGGTACACAGCACTCCCTTGGTGTACCACTCTACCCCTGGGGAGATGGAGAGAGAAGCAAATAACTCACCAGATGACTGTCCGTCCAGAGGGGCAAGGGTTTCCCCATGCCGTGGGGGCCATGGCAGGGGCAGAGGCAAGGCGTGGGGTGACAGGGTGGGACCCCCAGGAATTAAAACCAGAAACAGCATGGGGGTGAGTGGGTGGCCTCTGGGACAGCACCACCTGCCTTATTCCTTGACTGTCTCTGCCTTTCCTCTAGGTGGTGTGACAGATTCAATACCTGTTCCTCCCTCTTCCCGACTTCTAGGCCTGGCCTGTGCTGGGGAAAGAGGGATGGCGTAAAGAAAGGAAGGAATCGGCTCCCATTCCACCCCTCTGACCACACTTGTTTGGTGGGAAAAAACCCAGGCATTGTTCTCAGAGACTTCCAAGGCGGAGACACAGGTACTGATTAATGAATCAGCAAGTAACAGCTCTATTAGTCAGTCAACAAGCACTCCCCCACCTCTGGGCCTTTGGACTTGTTGCTTTCTGTCTGAAACGTACTTCCTCAAGATACTCACATCTGACTCACCACCTCACTCTTTTGAAGTCGGGCTTAGAGGTCACCTCGTCAGGAAAGCCTACCGTGACCACCATATCAAAAACAGCCCCCTCTATTCCCCTCTTCCTTCTCTTATCACTAATCACACATGCGCTTGAGTGCACACACGTATCCTCTCCCTCTGTAGTGTAAGCTCCGAGGGGCCAAGGACTTTTCCATCTTCATTGGTATATCCCTGGTGCCTAGGGCAGAGCCAGGCACATAGTAGGTGCTCAATAAATATTCACTGAATACATAAATGAATTGAATACCTACTATGTACCCACCACTGTCCTAGCCAATGAGGGACAAGGAAGAAAAAGACAAAGTTTCTGTCAGTGGTAAAATGCTTGGGTTGTAGGG